CTGCTTGTGATGGGCTTTGGTTCATCATGTGACTTTCTCCACCTCCTGCATTTGGTGGGTAACAGTGTATTACAAAGGTACAAAACAGATATCAGTACTTCAATAGGTTGGTATATTAACATTATATCAGTTAATGAAATTACGGTATTTAACTATAAATTCAAGTTAAAACCGTAAAACCTAAAACGTTGCTACCGTATTTTTAACGGTAAAATTCCGGCAACCACAGCTGCCGGTTTTTTACCGTAAATTTTACGGAATTTTTTTTTTACAGTGTACATAAAATAGCAGATAAAAAGATGACATATTTAAAATCAATGTGAGATCAAAAATCTAAGCATCATCCCAATATTGTTAATTACATTAAACCCATATAAAAAATGGACTATCAATCCATTATCATGTGACAGATTGTGTAGGTATAATGTGCCACAAGGTGGCAGTGTTCTCAGACATTCAATAAGGAATTTCAATAAACAACTTTCATCTTATTTATACTATATTTTAATATTATAAGAATAGAGACTGAAAAGCACAGACATATTTTTTGTTGTTGTCTTTTTTCATATATCACACCAGTAAACATGCTATTAATGAAGGTACAAAGCTCACAGAGATCAGGAAGTTCCTGAAAGCCTTGATTACTGAACAGCAGAAAGCTTCAGTAACACACAGTCAGAGCACAGAGCACTGAGAGAATTAACACACAACTGATCTGATCATATTCACCATGAACAAATACATGCTGCTGCTTTTCATTATGGCATCAGGTGTGGCATTTATGATTACTTCAGATCTTTTAGCAACAACTTTAAAAAACCTATAAAACACTGGATGGTATTTTATTGATTTTCTTTCAAAACACTTGTAATTTATATCTTTAACGATATACAGTGTTTAAAGTAAGAGAAAATGAGTTAATTTTGTGCTTAATGTTTGCAGATGTGACAGCTGTGGACAAAATTGAGCCAAATAAAGGGACGAGCATCATCAAAACTGAAGGAGAGTCTGTAACGCTGAGCTGCTCATATGATTCAGACAGTGAATATGTACGTCTGTACTGGTACAGACAATATCCTAATGGAGAACCTCAATATTTATTACGTGAAGGAGCACGATCAAACAGTGCTAAGCACAGCTCTGATCCTCGATTCCAGTCAAGCACTTCTCGCATGTTGACTGAACTCATTATTAGCAGTGTGACTGTGTCAGATTCAGCTCTCTATTACTGCGCTTTAAGAGTTGAAGCCCAGTGATACAAAACATGAGACAAGTCGTACAAAAACTACAAGCCATTTTCACTTTGAAGCTCTTATTATGAAAACCAAATCAAAACCTCAATGTGAGATAATAACGGCAAACATCTGTGTGAGGTTGAGAGAAGAAATGTTTTATAAAAGGAATAAAAGGGCAAAAAAAGAGCTTTTCAAAAATGTAAAAGGGTTTAGGGTTGTGTTTTACAAAAATTTACTACAAGTATGTAACACTTCAATTGAGTTACACTTGCAAAAAACAACAACCCTAAAGCTTCCCCATATTACACATAAATGTGTGTTTCATGTAGTTTTGCTTTATAAAGCTTATGGTGACAGACTATCTGACACTAAAATATGACTAAAGTTAATTTGAACTTCTTATAACAAAATCCACTATAGATGCACTTAGAATTATTACTACTTAGAATTAATCTTAACAATAATGGACAGAAAATTAGTTTCACTTAGCAATAATGAGCCAGGCTCCAAGAAATACCATTCCCTCAAAATAAAGCTTCTTTTGTCTTGTAGTGTCAAAAGAGGAGGGACTTACATCTGACATGATCTAATTATGTCTGACAGAGACTGTGGTTGATGATTCAGTCTGACTCTACTCAGAGTGAACACTTGTACAATGGATCTTCATTCAGTTATTCTGTTCTGTGCCTCAACCGGTATGTATATTTATTTGCTTGATTATTCGGTTATTTATTAAAAACAAAATAAAAAGCACTACAAAGCGACAAACTTGCCTCTTCTTTTTCAGCTGCTGTCTTTGGGAATGTCATCAAACCAAACAAAACAGATGTTTTTGCTGAGGAGGCTTCAAGTGTTACTTTGTCGTGTAATTTTTCTGACTCTGGAGGTACAGATTATCTCCACTGGTACCGTCAGTATGGAAGATCAAAACCTGAATTTCTTGTACTCACCTACGACACAGCAAAAGAAGCTCAGCGGTCTGTTGTAGATCCAAGATTCTCTGTTAACATTACAAAAAGGGAACAGAACCATGTGGATCTGAAGATCTCCTCTGCTGCTGTATCAGACTCTGCTCTGTACTACTGTGCTCTGCAGCCCACAGTCACAGGAAACACATCAGCTCTCTACAAAAACCTGCTACAATGAGTGACAAGAGAGAAACACAGAGACAGAGAGAAACATTGTGACAAAGAAGCTAGTATACACATATTTAAATAATCTAATGCAAAAAGGATCAAAACATGAAACAAATCAACATTCTAAAGTTAGTCAAATTATGTTTCACTTGATAATTTGTGAAATGGCAATATTATGCAATACTTGCAGGTAACCATAAAATAGCAGTAAGTACTCAATATTACTTTTGAGAATACAGTTTTTTTTGTTTCATCATTATAATACCAAAAGCAAAACTTTTCCATTCACTGACTTATCTTTAAAGTGTATACAACATAGACAGTCATGTCACACAGGTTGAGGAATATACTTCTTTTCACACTATACTTTCTTGGTATGCATTTAAAGGGGTCATATGATGGTGCTAAAAAGAACATTATTTTGTGTATTTGGTGTAATGAAATGTGTTTATGCGGTTTAAGGTTCAAAAAACACATTTTCCACATACTGTACATTATTGTTTCTCCTCTATGCCCTGCCTTACCATATTTTGATGCCGTGTCCCGGCCAGAGCGACGAGACAAAAACATTAAAACCCATTATAAACAAGGCATTTGTTGCATCCAGTGGGGACATAATTACGGATTATAATAACTTATACTGTCTTTTTACGTGTTGCGTTGCATCGCGTAAACATAAAACCATGTCTGCATTTGTGATCGGAGAAATGACAAACAACAAGCGCTACTCTACACTGCTCAAAACTCGCGTTTGAATCGTCAGTGGCAAATTCTTTAAATATAAAAACTTACTTACAGTCTGTGAGTCAGAACAGCCGGCATTGTAGTCTATTCTACCAGGATCAGGAAACAGTCCTCCATAAAATGTGCTGCACACATCTGAATATTTGGGTTGAACTGTTCTGGAACAGTGTTGTAAATACAGCTTAACCACTGATTTCTAGTCGTGTCCTCTTTTGGAAGGCCAAACAAAGTAGTTTTGCTTTCACAACGAAACACAGCGTCACACACGGCGGCTTGAGTGAGCGGACGCCGGCGGGCTTGAGAACGGCATGGCCGGCAGATTCAATGAAGGAGCGGGCTTGCGGCAACCACATGTGACGACCCCAGGCTGGACTCTGATTCGTCCACGGTGAAAGCCGATCCGGCGATCCACAGCATGAAGTTGATGTATTTCCTCAGCGACCAACACGGATCAGCTCTAGGCATGACGAAGCGGCTATCATTATCGTCCTCTTTTGGAAGGCCAAACAAAGTAGTTTTGCTTTCACAACGAAACACAGCGTCACACACGGCGGCTTGAGTGAGCGGACGCCGGCGGGCTTGAGAACGGCATGGCCGGCAGATTCAATGAAGGAGCGGGCTTGCGGCAACCACATGTGACGACCCCAGGCTGGACTCTGATTCGTCCACGGTGAAAGCCGATCCGGCGATCCACAGCATGAAGTTGATGTATTTCCTCAGCGACCAACACGGATCAGCTCTAGGCATGACGAAGCGGCTATCATTATCGTCCTCTTTTGGAAGGCCAAACAAAGTAGTTTTGCGTTCACAAGGAAACACACAGCGTCTTCACAACATGGTGGCAGCAACAATACTAAAGCGAGAATAAAAGTTACGCCTTCTTTCTTTGCGTGAACATTTGGGCTGCGTTATGCAAATCTTCCCACATCGTGACGTATACATGTGGGGGCGTGTTAGAACGAGCCGTTTTAGGTAGGCGTGGTTGACTTAACTTTTATAAAGAATATCTCTTTGGATTTGAGACTTTAGTCTTTGCAACTTTACAGATCTTCTTTATGCCCCAAGAGCTTGTAACACTTAAAAGAGAAAGGAAAAATTGAAATCGCATCATATAACCCCTTTAATACTCCCATAAATTTTGCATCTTAAAGAGAAACTCCTATAAATGCATATTCAATAAGGGTGATGGGCTTTGGTTCATCATGTGACTTTCTCCACCTCCTGCATTTGGTGGGTAACAGTGTATTACAAAGGTACAAAACAGATATCAGTACTTCAATAGGTTGGTATATTAACATTATATCAGTTAATGAAATTACGGTATTTAACTATAAATTCAAGTTAAAACCGTAAAACCTAAAACGTTGCTACCGTATTTTTAACGGTAAAATTCCGGCAACCACAGCTGCCGGTTTTTTACCGTAAATTTTACGGAATTTTTTTTTTACAGTGTACATAAAATAGCAGATAAAAAGATGACATATTTAAAATCAATGTGAGATCAAAAATCTAAGCATCATCCCAATATTGTTAATTACATTAAACCCATATAAAAAATGGACTATCAATCCATTATCATGTGACAGATTGTGTAGGTATAATGTGCCACAAGGTGGCAGTGTTCTCAGACATTCAATAAGGAATTTCAATAAACAACTTTCATCTTATTTATACTATATTTTAATATTATAAGAATAGAGACTGAAAAGCACAGACATATTTTTTGTTGTTGTCTTTTTTCATATATCACACCAGTAAACATGCTATTAATGAAGGTACAAAGCTCACAGAGATCAGGAAGTTCCTGAAAGCCTTGATTACTGAACAGCAGAAAGCTTCAGTAACACACAGTCAGAGCACAGAGCACTGAGAGAATTAACACACAACTGATCTGATCATATTCACCATGAACAAATACATGCTGCTGCTTTTCATTATGGCATCAGGTGTGGCATTTATGATTACTTCAGATCTTTTAGCAACAACTTTAAAAAACCTATAAAACACTGGATGGTATTTTATTGATTTTCTTTCAAAACACTTGTAATTTATATCTTTAACGATATACAGTGTTTAAAGTAAGAGAAAATGAGTTAATTTTGTGCTTAATGTTTGCAGATGTGACAGCTGTGGACAAAATTGAGCCAAATAAAGGGACGAGCATCATCAAAACTGAAGGAGAGTCTGTAACGCTGAGCTGCTCATATGATTCAGACAGTGAATATGTACGTCTGTACTGGTACAGACAATATCCTAATGGAGAACCTCAATATTTATTACGTGAAGGAGCACGATCAAACAGTGCTAAGCACAGCTCTGATCCTCGATTCCAGTCAAGCACTTCTCGCATGTTGACTGAACTCATTATTAGCAGTGTGACTGTGTCAGATTCAGCTCTCTATTACTGCGCTTTAAGAGTTGAAGCCCAGTGATACAAAACATGAGACAAGTCGTACAAAAACTACAAGCCATTTTCACTTTGAAGCTCTTATTATGAAAACCAAATCAAAACCTCAATGTGAGATAATAACGGCAAACATCTGTGTGAGGTTGAGAGAAGAAATGTTTTATAAAAGGAATAAAAGGGCAAAAAAAGAGCTTTTCAAAAATGTAAAAGGGTTTAGGGTTGTGTTTTACAAAAATTTACTACAAGTATGTAACACTTCAATTGAGTTACACTTGCAAAAAACAACAACCCTAAAGCTTCCCCATATTACACATAAATGTGTGTTTCATGTAGTTTTGCTTTATAAAGCTTATGGTGACAGACTATCTGACACTAAAATATGACTAAAGTTAATTTGAACTTCTTATAACAAAATCCACTATAGATGCACTTAGAATTATTACTACTTAGAATTAATCTTAACAATAATGGACAGAAAATTAGTTTCACTTAGCAATAATGAGCCAGGCTCCAAGAAATACCATTCCCTCAAAATAAAGCTTCTTTTGTCTTGTAGTGTCAAAAGAGGAGGGACTTACATCTGACATGATCTAATTATGTCTGACAGAGACTGTGGTTGATGATTCAGTCTGACTCTACTCAGAGTGAACACTTGTACAATGGATCTTCATTCAGTTATTCTGTTCTGTGCCTCAACCGGTATGTATATTTATTTGCTTGATTATTCGGTTATTTATTAAAAACAAAATAAAAAGCACTACAAAGCGACAAACTTGCCTCTTCTTTTTCAGCTGCTGTCTTTGGGAATGTCATCAAACCAAACAAAACAGATGTTTTTGCTGAGGAGGCTTCAAGTGTTACTTTGTCGTGTAATTTTTCTGACTCTGGAGGTACAGATTATCTCCACTGGTACCGTCAGTATGGAAGATCAAAACCTGAATTTCTTGTACTCACCTACGACACAGCAAAAGAAGCTCAGCGGTCTGTTGTAGATCCAAGATTCTCTGTTAACATTACAAAAAGGGAACAGAACCATGTGGATCTGAAGATCTCCTCTGCTGCTGTATCAGACTCTGCTCTGTACTACTGTGCTCTGCAGCCCACAGTCACAGGAAACACATCAGCTCTCTACAAAAACCTGCTACAATGAGTGACAAGAGAGAAACACAGAGACAGAGAGAAACATTGTGACAAAGAAGCTAGTATACACATATTTAAATAATCTAATGCAAAAAGGATCAAAACATGAAACAAATCAACATTCTAAAGTTAGTCAAATTATGTTTCACTTGATAATTTGTGAAATGGCAATATTATGCAATACTTGCAGGTAACCATAAAATAGCAGTAAGTACTCAATATTACTTTTGAGAATACAGTTTTTTTTGTTTCATCATTATAATACCAAAAGCAAAACTTTTCCATTCACTGACTTATCTTTAAAGTGTATACAACATAGACAGTCATGTCACACAGGTTGAGGAATATACTTCTTTTCACACTATACTTTCTTGGTATGCATTTAAAGGGGTCATATGATGGTGCTAAAAAGAACATTATTTTGTGTATTTGGTGTAATGAAATGTGTTTATGCGGTTTAAGGTTCAAAAAACACATTTTCCACATACTGTACATTATTGTTTCTCCTCTATGCCCTGCCTTACCATATTTTGATGCCGTGTCCCGGCCAGAGCGACGAGACAAAAACATTAAAACCCATTATAAACAAGGCATTTGTTGCATCCAGTGGGGACATAATTACGGATTATAATAACTTATACTGTCTTTTTACGTGTTGCGTTGCATCGCGTAAACATAAAACCATGTCTGCATTTGTGATCGGAGAAATGACAAACAACAAGCGCTACTCTACACTGCTCAAAACTCGCGTTTGAATCGTCAGTGGCAAATTCTTTAAATATAAAAACTTACTTACAGTCTGTGAGTCAGAACAGCCGGCATTGTAGGCTATTCTACCAGGATCAGGAAACAGTCCTCCATAAAATGTGCTGCACACATCTGAATATTTGGGTTGAACTGTTCTGGAACAGTGTTGTAAATACAGCTTAACCACTGATTTCTAGTCGTGTCCTCTTTTGGAAGGCCAAACAAAGTAGTTTCGCTTTCATAACGAAACACAGCGTCACACACCGCGGGCTAGAGTGACGAATGGCCGGCGGGTTAGAGTGAGCGGTATAACTTTTATAAAGAATATATCTTTGGATGTGAGACTTTAAGGCTGATTTATACTTCTGCGTCGGACCTGAGCCGTAGGCTATGCGTCAGTTTTCATTTATACTTCTGCATCGTTGTCCGCATAAACCTAGAAATGACAGAAAGGATTCATTACATTTTTTTGTTTTTTTTGTTTATGCCAATTTGACAATGTTCAGTAATATTCTTTTTCTTAAAATACATTTATAAAATAAATACTTTTGTTTAGGGATTCAAGGATGGAGTCAATGGATCAAAAGTAACAGACTTTTACATTGTTAAAGATTCTATTTCAAATAAATGCTGCTCTTTTGAACTTTCCATTCTCAAAGAAAAAAAAATATCACAGTTCACAAAAATAATAAGCTGTGCAACTGATTGATAATGTTTCTTGAGCACAAAATCGGCATATTAGAATAATTTCGAAAGCATTATGTGACAAAAAAATCTTATAATCCCCAAACTATTGAACTGTAGGCTATCTATCTACCCATTAAACCTACTGACCTTTAAAACACTAAGAAACTAGACCGAACTAAACTGTCTGACTTGCACAACACAGATGTGATCTCAATAGAAAAGTAGCTTTGTTCATAATGTGTTCTTTACAGGTGCATCTCAATAAATTAGAATGTCGTGGAAAAGTTCATTTATTTCAGTAATTCAACTCAAATTGTGAAACTCGTGTATTAAATAAATTCAATGCACACAGACTGAAGTAGTTTAAGTCGTTGGTTCTTTTAATAGTCTCACATTTGACAAAAACCCACCAATTCTCTATCTCAACAAATTAGAATATGGTGACATGCCAATAAGCTAATCAACTCAAAACACCTGCAAAGGTTTCCTGAGCCTTCAAAATGGTCTCTCAGTTTGGTTCCCTAGGCTACACAATCATGGGGAAGACTGCTGATCTGACAGTTGTCCAGAAGACAATCATTGACACCCTTCACAAGGAGGGTAAGCCACAAACATTCACTGCCAAAGAAGCTGGCTGTTCACAGAGTGCTGTATCCAAGCATGTTAACAGAAAGTTGAGTGGAAGGAAAAAGTGTGGAAGAAAAAGATGCACAACCAACTGAAAGAACCGCAGCTTTATGAGGATTGTCAAGCAAAATCGATTGAAGAATCTGAGTGAACTTCACAAGGAATGGACTGAGGCTGGGGTCAAGGCATCAAGAGCCACCACACACAGACGTGTCAAGGAATTTGGCTACAGTTGTCGTATTCCTCTTGTTAAGCCACTCCTGAACCACAGACAATGTCAGAGGCGTCTTACCTGGGCTAAGGAGAAGAAGAACTGGACTGTTGTCCAGTGGTCCAAAGTCCTCTTTTCAGATGAGGGCAAGTTTTGTATTTCATTTGGAAACCAAGGTCCTAGAGTCTGGAGGAAGGGTGGAGAAGCTCATAGCCCAAGTTGCTTGAAGTCCAGTATTAAGTTTCCACAGTCTGTGATGATTTGGGGTGCAATGTCATCTGCTGGTGTTGGTGCATTGTGTTTTTTGAAAACCAACGTCACTGCACCTGTTTACCAAGAAATTTTGGAGCCCTTCATGCTTCCTTCTGCTGACCAGCTTTTTGAAGATGCTGATTTCATTTTCCAGCAAGATTTGGCACCTGGCCACACTGCCAAAAGCACCAAAAGTTGGTTAAATGACCATGGTGTTGGTGGGCTTGACTGGCCAACAAACTCACCAGACCTGAACCCCATAGAGAGTCTATGGGGTATTGTCAAGAGGAAAATGAGAAACAAGAGACCAAAAAATGCAGATGAGCTGAAGTCCACTGTCAAAGAAACCTGGGCTTCCATACACCCTCAGCAGTGCCACAAACTGAATTTATGCCACGCCGAATTGAGGCAGTAATTATAGAAAAAGGTGCCCCTACCAAGTATTGAGTACATGTACAGTAAATGAACATACTTTCCAGAAGGCCAACAATTCACTAAAAAGGTTTTTTTATTGGTCTTATGAAGTATTCTAATTTGTTGAGATTGTGAATTGGTGGGTTTTTGTTAAATGTGAGCCAAAATCATCACAATTAAAAGAACCAAAGACTTAAACTACTTCATCTGTGCGCATTGAATTTATTTCATACACGAGTTTCACAATTTGAGTTCAATTACTGAAATAAATGAACTTTTCCACGACATTCTAATTTATTGAGATGCACCTGTACACTGTTTGGGAACAGAAGGACAGCGAATCTACAATACTTTGCCTCTTACCGCTGATACATATGATGGATTACAAGCACTGAAACAGTTCTTCTCCCCTAAACTGAATGTTGTTTCCGAGAGATATCGCTTCAGGCAACGCGCTCAAGTCATGGGTGAGTCTACAGACCATTACGTTGCAGCGCTTCGTGAACTGGTAAAAACATGTGCTTTTGGCGATATGGAGCATGAAATGGTCCACAATCAGATTGTGGAAAAAACGTGCATGCCCCGAATTCGTGAAAGACTGTTGTTAGAGCCAGATTTAACCCTTGAAAAGACGCTTACTATTGCAAGACAAATTGGAGCAGCGGTTGCAGATGCCAAAGTCATTGCTGAAGGGGAATCGAAACATGTATCAGTGATTCAAAAACAAACTAACATGTGGATCCAGAAAAGTAAACAAAAGAGTAAGTCGAGAGAGGATAGACGCATAAAGGGTCAACAGCAGTGTTACCGCTGTGGTTCTGTGAATCACCTTGCAAATGACAAGTCCTGCCCTGCCAAAGACTGCAAATGTAGAACATGCGGAAAAATCGGGCATTTCTCAAAAGTGTGCAAGTCATCACCAAAGTCAGTTAATGAAGTAAGCCTAC